AAAAATTCTGATTTACAATCCTAATGGGGAAGTAGAGAAAACAAAAATTCCTTCGAAGAGTTTTCTTATTTTTTTTTCTACTTCTTTTTAATTTCTTCATTTAATTTTTAATTTAACATTTTCGAGAAAGAAAATACTGCTGTTGAAAAATTACATTTTTCCTATAATTCTTTATGGGGATATTTTTTTTAGTATTAAATAAATAAGGTACATAAAAAAAGGAGAGAAGAAGTCAGGACATCAATCTTGGGAATGGAAGCAAACGCACAAAACCCGATATATACGGGCGAAGATTTTTTTTTTTTTTTTTGACTGTTATTTTTCATACATGTTGTTGCGTCTTACTAATGCTTGTAGTGTGCCTTTTCCCATGAAAGAAGAACTCTTCGAACTCTCATTTACCTCTCCTCGCCGCACTTTTCTTTATGTACTGTGGTGGATTTATGTATCATCATGGTCTATATAAGTTTGGTTATATGTTCTCCTTCCCACTGATCAAAAATGATGTCTCTAGTAAATACTTTGACGACCAACGGAAAATCCCTTTTATCGTTAATTTTCCTTGGTGCAGTTATTTTTTTCGGGTGTGGGGAGGAAAAACGAATTGCATAGATGGCTTTTAGAATTTATTTCGAGAATATTGTTCCACACAGTTTGTCACCAAATTGCCTCAATATTGCCGAATATATTGTCAAAATGTTGCCAAAATATTGCCACCAAATTGCCTCAAAATTGCCTCAAAAATTGCCGAATATTTTGCCACTATTCAGGACTCAAACCTCGAAAAAAAAAAAAAATGAAAAATCAGTTGTATAAAAAATAAAAACTCATAGTGTCCAACTTTTGCGGTACGATTAAAAAGAAAATAGAAAGGCGTTTTGCGATGAGGCGCGATACGAGTTGAGGCGGTAAAGACGAAAAGCAAAAATTATTTGGACAAAAAGGGCCGGTCTGTCAATATACAAGGCGAGGATTGTAGGTCTGAAAAGGTACCGCCATTCCTGATGAGTTAAGACAGTTAGAATCTTAAGCCACTGTTACACAGTGGTTGCTTGTGCCCAATAGATTCTAATGCCGCGATACCGAATGAACATCATCCCGACCTATCTTCAACGGGCGGCACCGAGCTATTAGCTCTGGCTTTGATTGGCTTCGTTTAATGGGCCAGGCGACACGCATATAAATTGCCGCATTTCTCCTTTGAAGATATTTCGAGCTTTCCTCCCTTCTAGTCGCTGTGTTTCTCGTAATTTCTATCCTCTCTTAATATGTATGTATATATAAAATTATAAACATACACAAGTATTTGTCTCAGCTTTTGAAAATTTACAATTTTGCTAAAATTTATATTCACATAGTTTCAATTCATATATAGTTGGAAAAAATATTTTATAAATATTTCCGCAAAATTGGGAAACTTTGAATTTAAAATTCTCTGTATAGAAAATTAATTATACTAATTCGCGCGCTAAAGCGCGCAGCTAACTTCTTCCTCCCTTTTTTAAATAAAATTAACAATTTTAAAAATAATAGAATTTAAAAATTTTCTAATTTATTATTACAATTATAATTATAATAATAGAGTTGAAGTTGTCGATCACCCCGAGTCAGGTGTAAATTGGTTGTAAATTGTAAATCCGTGCAATGGGTAAAATAAATAAATTTAAATTTTTGTTAAAAAAACTAAAAAAAATTCAATTTTGGAGAAATTAGAAATAATTGCAAAAAATCAATTATTTTCAAAAAAAAATAAAATTCTTCTTATAAAATTCAACTATGTTCAAAATTTGAAAAAAATTCTCGTAAAAATTCCAATTATCTTTATAAATAACAAACTTTTCACCAAAGTTCAATTATTTTCATAAATGTCAAAAAAAATTCTTGCCCTAATTTCAATTATTTTCAAAAATAAAATGCATTTTTCTAATTTCAATGATTATCGATATCTACTATTTTAATAAAATTTCCCAAAAAGAATTCAATTATTTAAAAAAAAATTTTAATAGTATAATTCTATGCAAACATTTAATTATTTTCATAAATAATAAAAATTTTACAGGAATTCAATTATTTTCACAAATAATAAATTTTTTTTAAGGAATTCAATTATTTTCATAAAAAAATAATTTAAAATTCTAGAAAACAAGAAAGAAAGAACTGCCATAAAGTTATTACTTATTTAAATTATTTAATGAAGTATTTTTTTTTTAAATTTAATTTAAATTTTGTTGAAATTAGTTTCAATTTCAAAAATTTTAACGCAATTATTTTAAACAATTTAACTATCGTAATGAATATTAAAATTCTTTCCAGAAATTCAATTATATTCAGGAATTTTTATAAAATTCATTATATAATTCAACTATTTTCATAAATAACAATATTCATCAGAAGAATTTAATTCGTTTCAAAATTAATAAAATTCTTTACAAAAATTCAATTATTTTCAAAGAATCCAAAAAAAAAATTGTCTACATTTCAATTATCATTATAATTGAATAGCAAAATTCTTCGACAAAATTCAATTATTTTCAGGAATTTTAATAAAATTCATTAAAAAATTCCATTGTTTTCATAAATAATAGTATTCGTCACAAGAATTCAATTATTTTTAAAATTAATAAAATTCAATTATTTACAAAAATTTTAATAAAATTCTAGTTAAAATTTTAATTGTTTTCAAAAAATTTTTCTTAATTTAATGATTTTCAACATTCTAGTATTTAAAAAAAAAGTTTCAAAAAAATTAAATTATTAAACAAAAATTTTGACCAAATTTTACATAAACATTCAATTATTTTCCAAACAATTAAAAATTTCACAAGAATTCAATTATTTAAAATAGAATTTGCATAAATTTTTTCGAAAAAATCAAATGTTTTAAATTTTTAAATAATTGTATTCTTTTGACGAATTTTAATCAAAATTTTAAAAATAATTACATTTTCCGAGGAATTCGATTAAAATTGCATTAAAAATAATTGAAATTCTGAGATGAGTTTTATTATTTACGAAAATAATTGAATTTTTGAAAAGAAACTTATAAAATTTTTTTTAAATATTTGAATTCCTGTGAAACTTTTATTATTTATGATTTTCGAGAAATTCGATTAAAATTGTATTAAAAATAATTTGAAATTCCGCGATGAGTTTTATTATTTCTGAAAATAATTAAATGATTGCGAAGAAATTTACATAAAATTTGTAAATAATTGAATTTATGTGAAATTTTTATTATTTTATAAAAATAATTAAAGGTTTGCTTAGAATTTTATTAAATTTGTTTTAAATAATTAAATTCTTTTGAAAAATTTTATTAAATTAGTAGATATTGAAGAATAATTCAAATGATGAAAATTTTTGCAATTGAATTTTGAAGAAGATTTTTTTTATTTATAAAGTTAATAATTCGGATTTTGTCGAATTTTTTTTGTAAATTTTGAACATAGTTGAATGTTGTGATAAGAATTTTATAACTTTTGAAAATAATTGAATTACTGCAATCATTTGCAACTTCTTCAAAATTCAATTTTTTAAATATTTTTAACTAAAATTTTTCTATTAATCCATTATTTTTAATAATTAATTAAATATATATTGACAAATTTAACTAATGTTAGAAGATTTTGAATTATTAAAATTTTTCAAAAATTTAAGTTTTTTAAAATTTTTAATTAAATTCATTGAAGATTGAAATTTTATTAAATTTTAAATTAAAATCTTTTGAGTTCATTTATTCATGAAAATTGTAAACGCAGCTTTTTTAAAATTATGTAAATTAATTTTGAAATATTTAAGTAAAATTATTATTTATTTAATAATTTGTAAGTCATTATTTTATGATAGTTTGTTCAAGATTTAATTTATTTGAAAAGAAATTATTGTCAGAAATTGAAAAAATTAAAGGTTTTGTATTAAAATTTGTGGTAATTTCATAGTTTATAAGGCAAACAAAAAAGACATAAAAATTAAAAATTTTCTTATGAATTCTAAAAATTTAATTTTTTACAGTATTTTTTATAAAAATTCCTGACTTTTCTTTGATTTTTCTTTGTCAGAAAGTCAAAATATGTAATTATTATAGTTATAATAATATTAAAACTATATTCCAAATTAAATTTTATTTTTTAGAAAATAAATTTCAATTAAAAATTTTTACGTTCAATTATTTTTAAAATTGCTAATTTTATTAAAAATTTTATTGAAAAAATGGAAGAAAAAGTTAGTCGCTTGCGAATTGTTGCTAGTTTTTAAATTATTTTCGAATAGTTTTGAATATATTTAGAATATTTTTGATGGAAAATTACTTAATTTTTGTTACATTTGATTGTCTTTAATTATTTCCGTTATTTACTAAAATTTAACATTGTAATTGCAATTCCAAAATTTTTTGAAAATTTTTTTTTCGTTGTAATTTTATTACAACGAAATTTTATTTGGATTATTTCGAAATTTACATAAACTCGTGACGTGAATTTTTTTCTGTAAATACAATAATGCTAACCTTCAGTTTAATACCAAAAAAAAGTGACAATCGTTCTTAAATGTCTAGTTTTTGACATTACTTTCAAAATACAAAAAAGGAACGAGATGTTTTTCTATCGCGAAAATAATCTTCCTGGTGTATAAAAATATTTCTAGTTTCAGAAAAAATTAGCGCCATGTCGAAAATAAACAAATAGTTTCGAATTCTCCACTGAACAGTGTTTTCAATTTTCTTCGGATATTTTTCAAGTTTCATAAGAAGTTGAAAATAATTTTCCTTCTCTCGTAAAATGTAAGTTCTTATCTATCATTAAATATTAAAAATATAAAAATATATTAAGACAAATTTGTAAAAAATTATTTAAAAAACGAATATTTAATATTTAATTTAAAAATTAAAAAATTAAAAATATACCCAAAATTTTTCAGTTTTTCTTTTGCTTTGAATAATTAACAAAAATAGGTTAAAAATAGTAAACTATCTAAAAGGAATAAATATTTACAGAATAAGAAAAATGGATTCAGGTGTAATTAATAATTCCGAGAAGCAATCATCAAAGAAAGATGAATGCACATTACCGGATGTCTCGTCAGTTTCATTGGATTCAGTTTCCGAATTATCATCATCGAATTTAGGAAATAAAGTAAAAGTATTCTTAAAAATAAGACCAACCGATAATGACAATGATGATTGTGAAATTTTCACAATAATAAATTCTACAAATCTCGTGACAAAAATCCCACCATGCGATTCATCATCACGACAATCGAAGCACTTCAATAATCAAACAAAGGATTCGAGAAAATATAAATTTACAAAAATTCTTCCAATTGAAATTTCGCCATCACAACTTTTTAATGACACCACACGGCAAACTGTCATGAATTTTATTCAAGGTCAAAATTCAACAGTAATGAATTATGGCACTAGTAATTCTGGTAAAACTCATTCGTTCTTCGGTGAAAATAATACACTCGGACTAATACCAAGAAGTTTAAAATTTCTATTCTCAATTATTGAAAACACTGTTTCGTCAAATTACAAACCGTTTTATGGAAATGTGGTGAAAAATTTTGATGAATTTGAGAGAATTTTGGATAAGCAGATTAAGGAGAAATTGTTTTTCACTTCGAGACGGAAAAATTCAGTTCAATTGGATGAATTTAGAAATTTGGATGAATTTTCATTGAGGGAAAATAATGAAGAAGCGAAGGATGATGGTTATTTTTATTCGGTTTGGATTTCTTTTTTTGAAATTTACAATGAGGGTATTTTCGATTTATTGGCGAATGAAGAGGGTAATAAGAATCATTTGAAGTTGACTACGGATGAAAAGGGGAACAATTATTTGAAGGGAATTAGAAAACTTTATGCCACAAGTGCTGAGGAGGCTTTTCAAATTATGTTGGCTGGTAAATCACAACTTCGAGTTGGTGTCACTGCGATGAATTCCAAAAGTTCACGGTCACATGGTATTTTTAGTTTAACTCTTTTGAAGTACAGGGAAAATTCCTCTCCTGAAGATGTGACAGTTAGTATTTTTTTTAGTTCTCTACTAGTTATCTTATTTTTCCGATTCTTTTTTTCCACTTTTCTAGTTTTTCCATTTTTCTATTTTTGGCTTTTTTTAACTTTCTACAGTTTCTTTTTTAATTCAGCAAATAATTTAAAAACTAACTTCTTTTTTTTTAAAATATAAACTCGAGATAAAGTATTTTTATTCAGGGTTGCCACAGGTCAGGGAAAAGTCGGGGATTTTTATTAAAAGTACTGAAAAAAATTAAATATTTAGAATTTATAAGAAAATTCTGAATTTTTGTTTGCCTCATAAACTATAAAATTACCACGAATTCTAAAAAAATTTTTTTTTTCTATTTCTGACAATAATTTATTTTAAATAACTTAATTTTATTGAAGAACTGCCATAAAGTTATTACTTATAAATCATTTAATGAATTATTTTCTTAAAAAACTTTAATTTCAATTCTGTTGAAATTAGGTTAAATTTAAAAAATTTTAACGCAGTTATTTGGAACAATTTAACTTTCGTAATGAATATTAAAATTCTTTCCAGAAATTCAATTATTTTCAAAATTTTTTTTTAAATTTTGGTCAAAATTTTAATTATCTTTTCAAATAGCAAAGTTCTTTGCCGAAATTCAATTATATTCAGGAATTTTTATTAAATTCATTGTATAATTCAATTATTTTTATAAATAACAATATTCATCAGAATAATTCAATTAGTTTCAAAATTAATAAAATTCTTAGCAGAAATTCAATTAATTTGAAAGAATAAAAAAAAAATGTCGTCAACATTTCAATTATCTTTATAATTGAATAGCAACATTCTTCGACAAAATTCAATTATTTTCAGGAATTTCAATAAAATTCATTGAAAAATTCTATTGTTTTCATAAATAATAGTATTCGTCACAAGAATTCAGTTATTTTAAAAGATTAAAAAAAAATTTGACGTCAATATTTCAATTATCTTTATAATTAAGGTAGTACGCTCGTGATCGCACTTTTCTATAGAATTTCATGAAATTTGAAATCAGAATAGTTAATAACAAGATCTATGTATTTGCAAAATATTAAAAAAATTGACCGTTTCTAAAACAAGATATTTAAGTTCAAAGTTTGTTATTTAACATAGTTAACCTATGAAAAGTGCATGTGAACGGCACATTTCTTCTAATAACTTCTAAAATTTTCTATAGATTGTTTTAAAAAACTAATATATTATAAATGAATGTTTGAGAAATTTATAACAAAAAGATTTAACAATATTAACCGTTTCAGTTAAAAGATATAATATAATATTCTAACCTGACTAGTATACTTGTGTGTGAGTGTGTCTGTACATAGGGCTGACTATGTATTCAGTACAGTTCAAGCAAAAATATGCTACAGTAACTGCACCATACTATAGCATTTTATTAAAATTTACTTTTGAGAGTGACTGTCGCGAGCGTACTACCTTAAATAGCAAAATTACTAGACAAAATTCAATTATTTTCAAAAATTTTTAATAAAATTTATTGCAAAACTCAATTGTTTTCATAAATAATAGTATTCGTCACAAGAATTTAATTATTTTTAAAATAATAAAATTCAATTATTTTAAAAAATTTTAATAAAATAAATGTCAAAATTTCAATTATTATCAAAAATTTTTCTTATTAAGTCAATGATTTTCAATATTCTACTATTTTAATAAAATGTTCCAAAAAAATTAAACTATTTAAACAAAAATTTTGAAAATATTTTACACGAACATTCAATTATTATTTTCCAAACAAAAATAATTTAATTCTTTTAGAAAATTTTATTAAAATAGTAAATATTGAAAATTATTAAATTCAGGAAAATTTTTGAAAATAATTGAAAATTTGCCGAGATGAGTTTTATCAACATTTTTTTAAATAATTGAATTGCTACGAAGAATTTTATTAAATTTTTTAAAAATAATTGAATTTCTTGCAATGAATGTTATTAAAATTTTAAAAAATAATTGAATTCTTACGAGAAACTTTATTAATTTTTTTTTTAAATAATTGAATTCTAGCGAAGAATTTATAAAAATCATTTTAAATAATGAAATTTTTTGAAAAATTTCATGAAAATTGTGTTTGAAAAAACACAACAATTTTTCTTAATTCAATTCAATTATTTTCAGGAATTTTAATAAAATTCAATGTAAAATTTAATTATTTTTATAAATAATAGTATTCGTCACAAGAATTCAATAATTTATATAAAAGTAATAAAATTCAATTATTTTCAAAAATTTTTATTAAAATGCATTGTAAAATTTCAATTATTTTCAAAATTCTACTATTTTAATAAAATATCCCAAAAAGTTAAATTATTAAACAAAAATTTTAACAATATTTTACACGAACATTCAATTATTTTCCAAATAAATAAAAATTTCACAGGAATTCAATTATTTAAAATAGAATTTGCATAAATTTTTTCGAAAAAATCAAATCTTTTAAAATTTTTTATTAATTTTTTCGCAGTAATTCAATTTTATTCATCGATTTTTAAATTCTTTTCAGGGATTAAATTATTTTTATAAATAATAAAAATTTTAAATAATTGAATTCTAGTAGAATTTTCTAATAGAAATGGATTTTTATATATGAATTCCAGTTAAAGTTTTAGATAATAATTGAATTTTGGAGAAGTTACTAATAATTTGAATTTGTAGAAATAATTGAATTTTGTAAAAGTTTCAAATTAAAATCTTTGAAAATTTGAATTTTTCATACTTTTAACTAACAATTATTAATTTTTTTTAGAACGTTTATTTGTATTTTTTTAAAAATTATTTGTGGTTTTTATTTTCTAATATATGTTTAATTAAAGAATTTCCGAATAATCGAAATTTTGTAAAACTGAATTGTAAAGAAATAAATTTGAAAATTCTCAAAAGAACTTTATCATAAATTATTAAAAATAATTGATTTAAAGAAGAATTTTATTTGAAAATTTTAAAAAATAATAATTGAATTGAAGCGATGAAAATAATTTTAAAGTAGTTACAGTAACAATATTTTTATAATATAAAATAATAATTATATCATTAATCACTCTTAATTATTATAAAACATGAAGAAATCGATTGCTCCGAGTCGAAGACTCGGAGTGATCCATTTCTTCATGTTTTATAATAATATTCTTTCAAGTTATTTACTTTCAAAAGGTTTGAATTTAAAATTTTTGAAATCTTCTTTCCTATGAAAAAATAATAATGATTAAAAAAGAAGTTAAGTTATTGATATTTTCGAATAATTTTACAGTTAAAGAATTTTGTAAATAAATGTAATGGAAAATTTTTTTTAGTATATAATAATTTTCAGAGAGAATCAGAATATTCTTTAGGGTCAGGGAAAAAGTGAAAATTTTGTCTGGAAATCAGGGAAAGACAAAATTAAATTTTTGTGGCAACCCTGTTATTGTTTCTTTTCCTTTTTTTTAATATACAATTTTTCGAATTTATTTTTTCCGAAAATTTAATTTTCCGCTTTTTTAATTTTAAGATGAGTACATTGACATTCTGTGACCTTGCCGGAAGTGGTGGCTTGCGAATGAATCAGAATAGGGAACGAGTTAAGGAATCACGAAGTATCAACGCGAGTCTATTGGTTCTTGGCAGATGTCTAAAGACAATTCAACGAAATTCAATTTTACGCGATAACACCGGACCCTTTAGGGAATCAAATTTAACCCGATACCTACAGAACGCTCTATTGGGAAAGGAGAATTTAATTATTTTGGTTAATCTAAATAAATCACCCGAGCTTTATGTTGAGACACAAAATGTCTTGAATTTCGTTTCAACTCTCAATAAAGTGAAATTTGAAATTCCTTCCGAAAAGAAATCATTAATTTCCCGAAGTTCCACTTGGATATGTTCACCGAAAACTCCACTCAAAGTGATAGAAACACCACAAGAGGGGGAAAATTACGAAAAACTAAAACAAGAGAATGGAAAATTATTACAAGAACTAGAGACCATGAGGAATGGGATTTTGAACAAAGAATATGAGATTCGACAAGAATTGACGGAAATGTATTCTGGAAAATTGAAAGAACTTGAGAAGACTTGGAGAATAAAGACTGAAAAGCTTGATGAGGAGCATGACGATTTATTAAATTGGTCAGTGAAGCAAGTCGAGGATTATTACAAGCAGCGAATAAATAATATGACAAGGAAACGAAAGCGTCTCAATAGTCACGAGGGTCATGGAGATTCGGAAGAATCAACTGTTGATAGTTTGGAATTATCGAAGGCAACCGCAAAAATAATCGCACTTCAGGAAATTATCGAGAACCTAAAGAAAAGAAATTTGGACCTAAGTGTCCAGAAGTCGGAGCTGACTTTCGAATTGTCGACCACTAGGAACGAACTACAAGATTTGAAGAAACGCTTCCAAACTGAAGAACCGTGCGAAAATGCCTTTAAAAAACGAAGAGAATCTTTTTTGTTCGAATTCACAGAGCATTGGACTAGGAATAACGAACTACAAGAGGAATTACAGGAAAAGCTGGAGAGAATCGAGCAACTAAAGATCGAATTGAAGCAGAAGGATCAGGAATTAGGGGAAATTAGAAAAGCCCTGAGAGATGATGAAGAATCGTCAATGAACAATAGTTTAAAATCAGATTCACGAGAGTTGTCCCTATCTCCGATGTCACTAAACAAAGTATCAATAATCGAAGAAGAAAATTCACAATCCCCAACAGTATCCCTAAGAACTTTGATAACGGTTCCAATCCTAGAAACCCTCGACGATCTCTCCCAAGAAAACAGGCTCAGTTTCCTAGATTCTTCAATCGAGAAATCGGAAAAAAGCCTCCGAACAAGTGACGACGACTCTGGAATCCGAACATCTTCCGTAACCACCGAATCTTGCGCCAAAGATCACAAAGCAATTCAAGTCGATCTCGACGACATTGATCAAATTAGACTTAAATTAGAAAAACTAAAAATCGACTACGAAAATCTAGGTAACAATTACACGATAAAATCGGAAAAGCTAGATTTATTGATTCCCGAAATGGAAAAAATGAAGCAAACAATTTTTCAATTGGAAACGACAACAGTTGAGGATAAGAAAAAATTAGAGAATTCCATTCCCGAAATGGAAAAAATGAAGCAATTAATTTTTCAATTGGAAACGACAACAGTTGCCGATCGGAAAAAATTAGAGGAGTACGAAATTCAGTTGTTACGAAAGGAGGATTGTTTGAAACGTTTAGATGCGGACAAAAAGGAACTCACCGATAGGTATAATTCAATATTTGAAAATTTGAAAGAGAAGATAAATTACGAAAATAAATTTGATGATATTCTGCTACCGGACGATTTGGACAAGTATATCGAGAAGTGTGTGACACTTGGCAATCAGATAAAGACAGATCAGGCCCAATTGGAGGAGAAAATTATCAAATGCACCACGGAGCATGTTCCGAAAATTAAGAAATTAGAATTGGAGTTGATGGAAAAAAATACTATCGTTCAAAAATTGTGTGAAGAGATGACAGACGTTAGGCAGGATCTAAAGAGGATTGAGAAAATTGATGAAAGAGTAAGCAAAAACTAATTTATGTCCGCTTTGCATTTTTGATTTTTTTCATTATCAGGCTTCGCTCTCAATTTTTTTTTTAAAGGAGCAAAAAGTAGCTTTAAGACTAAAAAAAAGTATTAAATAGTAGCATTAATTAAAGAAAGTAGTAAGAAAAGTAACTACTATGGAAAATTAAATTTTTCGACAAAAAAAATTTATTTTAGACGATTTACAAAATTAAAATTTCATTCTGTATTTTTCTATGAAATTTTCCTGAGTTCTATCAAAAAATGTTTCTTTTTCCTGTTTAGTAACTTTAATTCTAAATTCTTCACTATTTTCCAAACTTTTAGTTAAAAATTTTAGAATTCTTCAGAAATTCGATTTTATTTCGAAATAATTCGAAATAATTTTTAAAAGTAAGAAAATTAATTTTTTTCAAAACATAAAATTTATTTCGATTAAATTTGACAAAACTTTCCTTGAAAATTTAAATAAATACAGGGCACGAACCAGTGAAAGTATTTAAAAATAAAAATACGGACTTTACGGACCAAAAATAAGAAATTTTGGACTATTTACGGACCAATTATTACTGACAAAAATATAACATGTCCGCAATTATTTACATCACTTCAATTCAAATATATTATTTTCAAGAATTTTTAACTAAAATTCTTCTTTTAATTCAATTATTTTTAATATTTTTCGAAAAAGTTCTTTGACAATTTTCAAAAATCCATTTTTCAATTTTAGGAAATTTCAATTATTCGAAAATTATTCAACTAAATATAATATTAGAAAATAACAACATCAAAAAAATTCAATGAAACCTTTTGAAAAAAATTAATTTCACCGAATTGTTAGTTAAAATTTTAATTTTCAAAGATTTTAATTTTAAACCTTTTCAGAATTCAATTATTTCTAAAAATTCTATGCTAAAATGTTTTTAATATTCAATAAGTATCTATAAAATTTTAACTGATATTCATTTTTAAATCAAGTTTTATTAGAAAATTCAACAAGAATTCAATTATTTAAATACAAAAATTAATAATTTATTGAATAATTGAATGTTTCTTTAAATTTAATTCTTATGAAGAATTTTATCAACAAATAATTAAATTAAATATTTAGAATAATTAAATTTTTCTAGGAATTTATTATTAATGAAAAAACTGAAATTTTCTCAAGAATTTAAAAAAATTTTTAAAATAATAGTAAAGATGTAAACTTATTCTTGTATTTTTTTAAATTTAGTAAAGATTTTGAAGGTTTTCTTTTTAAATAATTAAATTGATACAAAGAATTTTATAAAAATCATTTTAAATAATCGATTTTTTTCAAAAAATTTTATAAAAATTGTGTTTGTTTGAAAATAATTGAATTTTTGTGAAAATTTTATTATTTTTTAAAATAATTGAATTCCTAAAAAGAATTCTATTATTTACGAAAATAATTAAATCGCTGTAAAAATTTTATACTATTTATGAAAATAAATGAATTGTTGCGAAAAATTTTATAAAAAATTTACAAATCATTAAATTTATGCAAAGATTTTTATCAAAAAATTTGATAATAATTTAATTTCTTGGAAGAATTTTATTATTTATGGAAATAATTGAATTTTTGGAAAGAATGTTATTGACATTTTTCATAATCCTAATTAAATTCTTTTGAAGAATATATTTGAATTTCTTTAAAATAATTGAGTTTTTTTAATAATTTTAATTAAAAATTTTCAAAGTAATTGACTTTATTATGAGCAATTTCTTTTTAGTTTTTACAATAATATTGTTTCTTAATAATTGAAATTAAACATTTAATTCTTGAATTTTATTTAAATTTTTAGAAAATAATTGAATTCTTTCAACAATTTTTTTTAATATATCGAATACAATCGAATTTATTTTAATGATTGTATTGAAAACAATTGAATTCCAAAAAAAGAATTTTATTATTTATGAAAAATAATAGAATTCTTACGATAAATTTTACTACTAATAAAAATAGTTGAATTGTTTCGAAGGATTTATTAAAATTTTAGAAAATAATTGAATTATTTCGAAAAATGTTATTAAAAATTTTTTTAAAAACTGGAATCCTTTTAAGAAAAATATTATTAAAATTGTATTAAAAATAATTGAATTTTTGAAAAGAATTTTATTAAAATTTTTGAAAATAATTGAATTTCGGAGAAGAATTTTATTATTTAAAAAAATAATTGAAATTTTGATGAGATTTTTTAAAAAAAATTTACTATGATTGAATTTTTGCAAACAATTTTATTACTTTTATTACTTTATTCAAATACAAAAAATAAATAATTCATTAAATATCTTATTATTTTTTAAAATTGAATACTAAAAAAGAATTTTATTAAAATTTTTGAAAAGCATTTCTTTCGAGGAATATTAATACAACTTTAGAAAATAATTACATTTTTCGAGTAATTTATTTCAAACTGTATTTAAAATAATTCAAATTCTGTAAAGAATTTTATTATTTATAAAAATAATTGAATTTCTGTGAGGAATTTTATTATTTATGAAAATAATTGAATTCTTGGGAAAAATTTTATAAATTGTAAATAAAATTGATTTCCTGTAAGAAATTTTATTATTTATGAAAATAATTGAATTTCTTATAAAAATTTTATAATTTCTAAAAATAATTGAATTTTTTTTTTCATTTTATAAAAATTTAAGAGAATAATTCAAATATTTCGAATAACTTAATTAAAATTAGATTAAAAATAATTAAATTTTTGCGATGGATTGTATTATTTAGGAAAATAATAATTTAACTATTATAAATAAATTTTGTCAAAATTATAGAAAAAAAAGGGCTCGTTTGACGCCCGCGTTTGTAACGAAATAATGAATTAAATATTATTAACTTTTTTCAAAGAATTTTATTAAAATAATTAAAACATTTCAAAGAATTGAATTAAAATTGTATTAAAAATAACTGAATTTTCAAAAATAGGGAAAAGTAGCTTTTAGTGTCACAAATTAAAAAAAAAGTATCCAAATAGTAGTTAATCGTAAAAAAAGTAGTAAATAGTAGGTTTTATGTAGTTGAGTGCGAAGCCTGCAGTATTTAAAAATTATTTTCATTAAGTATAACCGTTAGCAAAAGTTTTTTAAAATAACTAATCAAAACACATCCTCCAGATGAAATTTTTCGAAATCACTCTTCAGAAAAATGAGAAAGAAAAACAAGATTTACGAAAATTATTACAAGAGAAAATATCCCATCAGGGCGAATTGGAAAAAACTCTATCGTGCTTATCAGAAAAAATAACCCGACGCGATACTGAATTGCTAATACTCAAAGAAAATTTGAATCACACTAAAACAACGAATTCAATTAATTACAAAAATACAAATGAATTGAGTAATCTTGTTTCTGGATCGCTACTAAAAATGAGTGACATAAAAACTGAATTATTAAAATCAGAAGAGTCTCGTAACAATATGGATCGAAGTTGGGCACAGGAATACGGTTTCTTACGTTCACAATTATCGACTTTCGAAAATCAGGGAAATTTATTGTCACAAATGTACGAGAGGAATGAGGAAATAATTCTGGATGTGAAAAAATTGAAAAAATGTCTACAACTAAAAGAGAGGGAAATTGACGAAATGAGGAAAAATCGGGACGAAACTATTGAGAGGTATAAAAATTTCCTTTCTGAAAAAATTTTTTTTTAAGAATTTCTTTCTGAAGAATTTTTTTGAGGAATTATTTTTTAAATTTACAACTACTTTTTTGTAATTTAAGATACGATTTACTTGTGGACCAACTTCAAATGGACGTGAATGTAATTAAAGAAAATAAGGAATACCTAGCCCTACAAGAATCGAGTAAACAACTAAAGAAAAGTATCAGCGAAACGTTTAAATTCAAGAAACGAAAATCAAAAAACCGTCAAATGAATACCAATGGTAATAAAACAAAATTTTTTTTTTTTAAATTAAAAAATTCTACCATTACATTCTTCATTTTCGAAATAGATTCGAAAAATTGGAGTACACCGACAGTAAGTTCGTCTGCATCACTGGAATCAATTCGAAAATTCGCCCGAAGAACTTGTCAGTGTCCGAAAAATTCCAACGAGGCGAGTATTTATTGAAAGTACAAAAAAAAAATTAGTGACCAAAAATCAAGAAGAAATGGAAAAATTGTTTTCCAATGTCGATTATATAAGTCAAACCCATTCGGGTGTTTCAGGTAGAAAGTGAATCAATTTTGAATATAATTTCATCACAGCTTTCTGATTTTTATAATAATATCGAGACACAATCAGGAACAACTTTAATTCGTATTGTTGACAATCGGAATTGTTTGAAAGAGACAAAGAAAATGTTTAGCGAAGAAAAAAAGGAATAATTGCAATTTTTGAAAAGTTTAAACACAATATTCTCTATTTTACAATAACATAAAACTTTATACACTATCTCTTTTTTTAAAAGTTTCATAATAGTGTTTTGCAATTTTTTTTTCTTTTTTAGAAAACTTGTTACTAATTGTTTGCTAATAATGATGATACAATAAACTTGTATTTTGTTTTGGTAAAAAACAATTTTTACTTTTAGATCCAAAAAAATTTTGTCTAGCGAAATTCAAGGAACAATACATTGTGTAAATTTCAATAAATTAAAATTACTAGAATTAAAAAAATTTTAACTTGAACGTCTTTTACCAAATTTTTGAAATTCTGCTACTGTCGGTTTTGGTTGTTACGACTTAAAAGTCAAAATAAAATCAAATAAACTTTTTCTACCTCAGAATGTTGATAAGCAACAGCCAAGCAATAAGTAAGGTGATTACCAGCAATAAAAAATTATTAGAATTGTAATAAAAATTAAATTCTGCTATTTAATGATAGATCGTCCAACGTCCTTCCGGCAGGACGAAAAAGACTCAGGTAAGTCCCTCCGAAATCACTAAAGAAAACTAACATGGATTCAGATAAATAAAAAATGATATATATCATTGGAAAGGTAACGAAACAAGCTTTCAGCGCATATAAATATCGAGCTTGTAAGTTCAAAACTAAGGGCTGGGTAGTTTGAAGAAGTTACATGTTCCAAAAATTCACATAATTTTTAGTCACAGAATGACGAAGCCCGGTCCTGCCGGCAGGACGCTTTTCGCTTTATTTAAGAGACTGCCTAGCCCAGGTTTATAAATTTAAAGACTCGATATTTACATCGTTTAAAAGCTTGTTTCATTACCTTTCCAACGATATATTTAGTTTTATATTTATCTGCTTCCATATTAATTTTATAGAGCAATTTCTAAGGGACTCGCGCCTGAGTCTATACTCAAATATACTGAAAAATATTAAAAATGAATTTTTTTTAATTAAAAAATTAGGTTTCATTCTTTGAACGTTTCTGAAGAGAAAGAGACTCGTCCGGTCAAAAAATATTGATTTTTGGGAATTTTACATTAAATTTACGAAAAAATGTTTTTTTCACTGTTTAAAAACATAGCAAGTTTGAAGGCTTTAAAAAATGGTTTAATATTATTATTTTAAAAAGTCAAAAATATGTATTTTTTCGTCTTTTCGTCTACTTCAACCCCAAAGAGTGCCAGAAAAGAAAAGTTGAATTCCCTTTTTTTAAAAGCCTTTTTTTCGGAACGTCCTTCCGGCAGGATGGGCGCTTGGACGATTTATCATTAACAAATTTTGATTCTCTAATGGCGTTCGGGTGAGGGTGCTACTACTTAAAAATTAAAATAAAATTCTCTATTCTTCAAGATTGTGTAGAGCTCAGTCAATACTAGAATCCTGGTAATTTTAAAATGATTAAAATCATTAAATTTGGAAGAAATAAATTTTTCTTTTCTATTTTACCAAATTTTGATTGTCTGATGGCGTACAGGTGGACCTGCTACTACTTAAAAATTAAAATAAAATTCTCTATTCTTCAAGATTGTGTAGGGCCCAGTCCCTACTAGAATCCTGGTAGTTTTCAGATAATCAAAATCATTAAATTTAGAAGAAATAAATTTTTCTTTTATATTTTACCAAATTTTGATTGTCTGATGGGGTACGGGTGAGGGTGCTACTACTTAAAAATTGAAATAAAATTTTCTATTCTTTTAGATTGTGTAGGGCTCTGTCCCTACTAGAATCCTGGTAATTTTCAGATGATTATAATAAATAAATTTGGAAGAAATAAATTTTTCTTTTCTATTTTACCAAATTTTGATTGTCTGATGGCGTACGGGTGGACCTGCTACTACTTAAAAATTAAAATAAAATTCTCTATTCTTCAAGATTGTGTAGGGCCCAGTCCCTACTAGAATCCTGGTAGTTTTCAGATAATTAAAATCATTAAATTTGGAAGAAATAAATTTTTCTTTTCTATTTTACCAAATTTTGATTGTCTGATGGCGTACGGGTGGACCTGCTACTACTTAAAAATTAAAATAAAATTCTCTATTCTTCAAGATTGTGTAGGGCCCAGTCCCTACTAGAATCCTGGTAATTTTCAGATAATTAAAATCATTAAATTTGGAAGAAATAAATTTTTCTTTTCTATTTTACCAAATTTTGATTGTCTGATGGCGTACGGGTGGACCTGCTACTACTTAAAAATTAAAATAAAATTCTCTATTCTTCAAGATTGTGTAGGGCCCAGTCCCTACTAGAATCCTGGTAATTTTCAGATAATTAAAATCATTAAATTTGGAAGAAATAAATTTTTCTTTTCTATTTTACCAAATTTTGATTGTCTGATGGCGTACGGGTGGACCTGCTACTACTTAAAAATTAATATAAAATTCTCTATTCTTCAAGATTGTGTAGGGCCCAGTCCCTACTAGAATCCTGGTAGTTTTCAGATAATCAAAATCATTAAATTTAGAAGAAATAAATTTTTCTTTTATATTTTACCAAATTTTGATTGTCTGATGGGGTACGGGTGAGGGTGCTACTACTTAAAAATTAAAATAAAATTCTCTATTCTTAAAGATTGTGTAGGGCTCAGTCCCTACTAGAATCCTGGTAATTTTTAGATGATTAAAATCATTAAATTTGGAAGAAATAAATTTTTCTTTTCTATTTTACCAAATTTTGATTGTCTGATGGCGTACGGGTGGACCTGCTACTACTTAAAAATTAAAATAAAATTCTCTATTCTTCAAGATTGTGTAGGGCCCAGTCCCTACTAGAATCCTGGTAATTTTCAGATAATTAAAATCATTAAATTTGGAAGAAATAAATTTTTCTTTTCTATTTTACCAAATTTTGATTGTCTGATGGCGTACGGGTGGACCTGCTACTACTTAAAAATTAAAATAAAATTCTCTATTCTTCAAGATTGTGTAGGGCCCAGTCCCTACTAGAATCCTGGTAATTTTCAGATAATTAAAATCATTAAATTTGGAAGAAATAAATTTTTCTTTTCTATTTTACCAAATTTTGATTGTCTGATGGCGTACGGGTGGACCTGCTACTACTTAAAAATTAAAATAAAATTCTCTATTCTTCAAGATTGTGTAGGGCCCAGTCCCTACTAGAATCCTGGTAATTTTCAGATAATTAAAATCATTAAATTTGGAAGAAATAAATTTTTCTTTTCTATTTTACCAAATTTTGATTGTCTGATGGCGTACGGGTGGACCTGCTACTACTTAAAAATTAATATAAAATTCTCTATTCTTCAAGATTGTGTAGGGCCCAGTCCCTACTAGAATCCTGGTAGTTTTCAGATAATTAAAATCATTAAATTTGGAAGAAATAAATTTTTCTTTTCTATTTTACCAAATTTTGATTGTCTGATGGCGTACGGGTGGACCTGCTACTACTTAAAAATTAAAATAAAATTTTCTGTTCTTCAAGATTGTGTAGGGCTCAGTCCCTACTAGAATCCTGGTAATTTTCAGATGATTAAAATCATTAAATTTGGAAGAAATAACTTTTTCTTTTCTATTTTACCAAATTTTGATTGTCTGATGGCGTACGGGTGAGGGTGCTACTACTTAAAAATTGAAATAAAATTCTCTATTCTTCAAGATTGTGTAGGGCTCAGTCCCTACTAAAATCCTGGTAATTTTCAGATGATTAAGATCATTAAATTTGGAAGAAATAAATTTTTCTTTTCTATTTTACCAAATTTTGATTGTCTGATGGCGTACGGGTGGACCTGCTACTACTTAAAAATTAAAATAAAATTTTCTGTTCTTCAAGATTGTGTAGGGCTCAGTCCCTACTAGAATCCTGGTAATTTTCAGATGATTAAAATCATTAAATTTGGAAGAAATAAATTTTTCTTTTCTATTTTACCAAATTTTGATTGTCTGATGGCGTACGGGTGAGGGTGCTACTACTTAAAAATTGAAATAAAATTCTCTATTCTTCAAGATTGTGTAGGGCTCAGTCCCTACTAAAATCCTGGTAATTTTCAGATGATTAAGATCATTAAATTTGGAAGAAATAAATTTTTCTTTTCTATTTTACCAAATTTTGATTGTCTGATGGCGTACGGGTGGAGCTGCTACTACTTAAAAATTAAAATAAAATTCTCTATTCTTCAAAATTGTGTAGGGCTCAGTCCCTACTAGAATCCTGGTAATTTTCAGATGATTAAGATCATTAAATTTAGAAGAAATAAATTTTTCTTCTCTATTTTACCAAATTTTGATTATCTGATGGCGTACGGGTGAGGGTGCTACTACTTAAAAATTAAAATAAAATTCTCTATTCTTAAAGATTGTGTAGGGCTCAGTCCCTACTAGAATCCTGGTAATTTTTAGATGATTAAAATCATTAAATTTGGAAAAAATAAATTTTTCTTTTCTATTTTACCAAATTTTGATTGTCTGATGGCGTACGGGTGGACCTGCTACTACTTAAAAATTAATATAAAATTCTCTATTCTTCAACATTGTGTAGGGCCCAGTCCCTACTAGAATCCTGGTAATTTTCAGATAATTAAAATCATTAAATTTGGAAGAAATAAATTTTTCTTTTCTATTTTACCAAATTTTGATTGTCTGATGGCGTACGGGTGGACCTGCTACTACTTAAAAATTAAAATAAAATTCTCTGTTCTTCAAGATTGTGTAGGGCTCAGTCCCTACTAGAATCCTGGTAATTTTCAGATGATTAAAATCATT